CACACTTACAATACTTACAAGTTAATAGTACTCTTAAGAAAACTTATGTTTCTCATATTTAGTAGATTAGACATATACATTATAAATCCCAGGAATTACCAAAACTATGTAGGAAAATAAAATGATTCCTAGTTTGTGTTTGTTTGTTTGTTGGATTAGCAAAGGTGGAGATTTATTAAAGAACAAGTACAGACTCCCACAGGGGGAGGGGAAAAAATCTTACAGCACAGACTTCCAGGTGGGGAGGGGGAAAGTGTCCCCTGATTCCTAGTTTTATGTATTTTTTTAAATGCTTTTCTTTGTGACATGATAGCATCAAACTGCTACTTGTTTTGTTACCTGATAGTTTCATGTACTAGGACAACATCTGAATTAACATGGTATGGTTTTTATTAAAACAGTTCTTTCCTTTGTTACGTTCATATAATTTTCAGGTGGTTTTTTTTCCCCCTCTCCCAGCATCTAGCAAATAATTTGCGATAAGATTGCGGTACTTGGCTGCTTTAACCTTCAGGGTAGCCTAGTGGTGTCACTGGTGCTATGAGCACTGCAGACCAGGCCCCTGTGTAGTAGTCATTACCTGGAAGCAGCCCTCTGTATAGCCAAAATGATGGATCGCACACTCACTTCAAAAGCGCTTTTCCAAATATTTTTCAGTTAAGAGTCACCTGGACACTTAGACGGTTTTTGGCCTCACCTTGAAACTGTTAGATAGGAATACCAAGCTGGTACAGCCTAGGAATGGGATTCTTGGAGCAGATAGATGGTCCTTTTTTCATTCGTTTGTATTTTGTTTTTTTGTTAATCTCCACCAGAGGATATTTTTCCATTGGTTTTTAGAGAGAGTGGAAAGGAGGAGGAGGAGAAGGAGGAGGAAGAGGAGGAGGAGAGAGAGAGAGGGAGAGAGAGAGAGAGAGAGACATTAATGGGTTGCCTAGTATACGAGCCCCGACCAGGGCCGGGGATCGAGCTTGCAACCTAGGTACATACCCTTGACCGGAATCAAATCCAGGCCCCTCAGTCTGCCAGCTGACACTCCACTGAGCCAAACCGGCTAGGGCTCATTTGTTTATTCTTCATCATATTACAAATGTTGGAATGATGTTAATATATCACAATATTGGAGTATAAGTGAAACAGATCTTAAACTGAGTTACTTAATTTTTCTTGTGAAATTAAGCACATTTAATTTGAACTTCTCACAGTGCGTCAGCACCTGTCTCGTCTGCCAAGTATTGATCCAAACACGAGGACCCTGCTTCTGTGTGGGTACCCGAATGTCGGCAAGTCCAGCTTCATCAATAAGGTTGGTTTGTCTCTGATAATTACTCAGGATACTGAGGACCTGAGGCCAAGGGTCTGCCATGTTCTGACTGTATGGGATGTAGGGCGGCTAATTAGTCCTTGAGTTGGTACTGCCCTGGGTTCAAAACATTGTGTCCTTGAAGGGAGGATTGAATTTGTCTGATCCTAGATATATATATTGCTGTTACATAAAAAATTTTTGATTCTTGTGTGCTTCTTACAAATTTTTAAGAGATTTGAGATGTTACAGTACATTTTTGTTAACATACAAGAGCCTCTCACAGGACATGATTGTCTTGGGATGTTCTGGGAATAGTGGTGCCAGGGGGCCTGCTGTTCACTGTGGCAGGCTGCACTTGCTGAATGGGACTTCACTCTCTGAAAGTATTTCTCGGGTACTGTCCCCTTAGTTGCCATGTCAGCTTTCACATAAACTATTTGGTCCATGTAATGGGGAGTACTGAGTCATTCTTATTTGAGTGAGTTTATTATTTGAGGCTCAAGGGCACTATTTATGTAAGTAACTTGGTGCTTCAGGGTAATTACTTGACTTTGAGGGACCTGAGCAGAGCAGCAACAGCTATTAAAATGTCATTTCATTAACAGCTCATATACCAGTAAACAATTGTTACATGCATATACATCCATGTGGCTGTTTGTTTCCAAGAATACCTTTGCCTTTAAGATCTATGGATTTTGTCCGCAAGTTGTGCTGACATAGTGACAAGCCGTTTCTCTTCAGTGTCCTAGCTATGTCTCCAACACTCGAAGACCACTTCTGTGGGGCAAAGACAGAACCACTTAAATAATTAAAATTAAACAATAGCCTTGACCAGTTTGGCTCGGTTGGAACGTTGTCTTGTACAATAAAAGGTGGCGGGTTTGAGTCCCGATTATGGCACATACCAGGTTGAGGGTTCTCTCCCCTCTCCCCCTCTGAGATCAATTAAAATATATTTGTTTTAATTAGTAAAAAAAAATTTTAGTTTCTCAGTTGCGCTTGACTACATTTCAAGAGTTCATGGACAGTGTGTGGCTAGCAGGCCCCAAATGGACTTCACAGATGTAGAATGTTTTTTTCATTAAAGAAAGTTGTTCTGGGCATGGCAGGGGCTGGGGCAGGCAAGGAAAAGCTGGTGGGTGTCCTCCTCCGACTGGGCCTGCCTCGCCTCCCTTATCCTTGATTCAGGCTCTTCTCTCTGCCATGGACGGTGATGAGGAAGTGGAGACCGTCACCTGTTGAAGCACAGTAGCTCTTGTCCTCAGCAGTTAACCATGGAAGTCTCACTTGAGCTTTTTTCCTCTTACTGTAACAGTCTTGATAACATATCTGGGGGACTTTTACACTGTGTGAGAGGAAATAAAGTGTAGAACACTGTGATTGGTTTCAGGTGACAAGAGCAGATGTGGATGTCCAGCCTTACGCATTTACCACCAAATCTCTGTTTGTTGGACACATGGATTATAAGTATCTGCGCTGGCAGGTAAGAGCTCTTATCTTTAAATGGAACAGATGTCCTGGTGGTTTTGTTAATGGAATGACTTTGATCCCTACAGCACAGGGGATCAAAGTGTCTTATTATTTAGTGCACTTTTTAGAGTGGGGAGAATGAGGAGGTGAAAGTAGACTCTTCGGGTTGCCAGGAGTGCCCTCATGAAGAAAACTCTGAGCTTTGGGATTGCTTAAGAGCAGTTCTCATTTCTCTACCAGGAGGCTTCTGCATTATGTTAACAGCGGTGCTGCTGAGGAAAGTCTTGTTGCTATTTCTGACCCTGTTGTTAGAAATGGCATTTACTAATTTAAAAGCATGAAGCCATGTATTTCCACAGTTGAATTTGACTTTATCAATGATGAAGTAGTTCCTCGCACATGGGCATGTTAGCCAGTTATTCCAGTTCTGTTTCATGATGTCACTAATAGTAGAGAGGCATTCTCTCAAGGTCATTGCTAGTTCCTGAATGAGCTGTGGAGGTCCCTCCATCCCTGTTTCCCCTTACGGCTTTATTTTATCATGCTCAGCTGGGAGACCTATGTTTTATTAACTAGTCTTGTCAGTGACCTCTGGGATGTGCTGGACAGCAAGTTTGTGAGCAGTGTGCTTTGGAGTGACAAGTGTGACTGTTAGGTTGTAGATACCCCAGGGATTTTGGACCACCCTTTGGAGGATCGGAACACTATTGAAATGCAGGCCATCACCGCACTGGCCCATCTGCGTGCTGCGGTGCTGTATGTGATGGACTTGTCTGAGCAGTGTGGGCACGGGCTGCAGGCGCAGCTGGAGCTCTTCCAGAACATCAGACCTCTCTTTGTCAACAAGGTGAGTGGGTATTTGGATATTTTCTAGTTTGCATGATCAATAAGAGAACACAACAGAAAATACAGTCTCCAAAGTGATGTTTGTCTTGGAATTACCCAATTTAGGTTGGAGAGGTTGTTCACATTTAACTAGATCACTCTAATGTGTACTCTGTAGGTGTACTTATGAGCTTAAGACAGTAACCTAGTTCCCATTCATCTTGGGTATTCTTGAGTAATGAAAAGTATTTCAGCCTGTAAAGCTAATGCATTCATTAAGTGCTACAAACTTGATCAATAAAAAACCCTCTAGCTTTGATTTATGTTCATCATAAACAGTTAAAAGGTAAGGACATCCTCCATCTAAACCTATTTTTCAAAAGGTTTGGAAGCAAAAGGTCCAATGTGATTTAAAAAATTAGAATGTATCATTTCTAGCATCTTAGGTAGGTAGTTTTATCAGGCTCACTAAAGTCTGACATATTCATTATTTTGATGTCAGTTGTCCACATTCATACAGCTGAATGTAAATTTCTTGAAGACTTCAATCTGAACCTTGTATTTTCCACAGTGCCCTGCTAAGGATTCTTTGGGGTCCATAGCAGATTCACTATAACACCTGATACTCTGTCCTCAGTAGCCTGATTCAGTAACAGTAAATGCACACCTAACTTGATTTTTGTTCTTTCCTGCCAACCCAGGGTTGCCAGATTTAGTAAATAAAATACATGATACCAATCAAATTTGAATTTCAGATAAATAACAAATTCTTCAGTATAATTATGTCCCAAATATTGCATGTGACATATGTATAGTAAAAAAATAAAACTAAAAAACTCAGTCCTGGCCAGTGTGGGTTGGTGGTTAGAGCACTGGCCCATGTACCAAAAGGTGACGGGTTCAATTTCTGGTCATGGGCACGTATCTGGGTTGCAGGTTTGATCTCTGGCCCCAGTCGGGGTGTGTACTGGAGGCAACCCATTGATGTGTCTCTCACATCCATGTTTCTCTTCCCAATCCCTCCCTCCCTCTCTCTCTAAAAATCAGTGGGAAAAATATCCTCAGGTGAGGACCAACAACAAATTTCATTGTTTACCTGAAATTCAAATTTAACTAGGCATTCTTTATTTTTATTTGGTGACCTTATCAGTCATTCTCCTACAAACTTGCCAGGTATTTCCTGTAGCCCCCAGTTTGTCAGACACATCTACTTAACAGTGGACATGATTATAGCTTTGTCAAGGATCCCCATCACTAATGTTCTAAGTATCATGGAGGAAGGGACACTCTCATTAGGTGTGTGTGACTGGAGGTGCAGGATTTGCTGAGATGCTGTAACCTCCACTGCAGTTCCAGAAATCAGGAGAGCAGTTCTTCATGGATAGGAACCCAGGGGTTTCACATCTTCACTACTTTTAAACCTGAGAGGAAGGAGCTGCATAGCTGATATCTTTAAAATACCCTCTGATTAACTTAGGCTTAAAAGATACTTTAGCATTTTTCCAGAAATGCCTGTATTTCCACAAATAAATAGTGTTTGAGGTGCCAAATAGTGTTGTCAAAGTCACCAGACTGGAAAGCAGACCTGGCGATACCGTTTTGTTTTCATGAGATCCACATTTATGCTTACAGCACATTTATGGATAAAAATTCAACATATAATAGTTAAGAAACATGTGCTTCCAGTAAAAGTTTTTTTTTAACCTGTTAGCTACATTTATGTGTGAATAAAGGAAAATGATTACTAAAAATAAAGTAGTTGAGCATTTGTACAAAATATTTTATGAGGCACTCATTATGTTGCTGCTATTAAACCATTGTGTACTATATAAGTTCTAAATGATTTAATCGTTCTTGTGGGATGAAGGTTTATTTAAAATGTTACAGAAATCCTATAGATAAATATTTGTAAAGCAGCTATTGCCATTGTACCAGTATTAAAAATTTATTCTACCTTGCATCATTTATAATTTTTATGACAGATTGTATATTGTACCCATTTGAGAATCCTGTAAATGGATTCAATAAACTGTTGCTAAGCATATGCTCCCAATGTTTATTTTGAGACTGACAACCAGAGAATATAAACTACCAAGGGGCGTCTGGTTATGTTTTTAAATAAAGAACAAATAAACAAGGTGGTATGACCAGTACCACATTAATGACCTGCAGTATGAAGGTGGTGATCATCTTATTTCTCTTTTCGTTGTAGCCTCTTATAGTTGTAGCAAACAAATGTGATGTGAAGAGAATAGCTGAGCTTCCAGAAGAGGACCAGGTAAGTCAACTTTATGTTTTCAGTATTTCTTACCCATTCTAAATCTCATCTCAGATTGCCAGAGTTTAGAAAGAATTTAGCAATGCTGGTCTGGCTTTTGGTTTTACAGTTGAGATAGTATCCTTGGTAGTTCAGTCAACATGACATTATATAAACCTCTTAGTGGTAACTAAACCTGAAATTTCCTGATGGCTGCTCTGTTAGAGGCTGTGGAAGCAAGCATCCATGTGTGCCAGCGGTTGATACGTTTAACCTCTGGAAGATTTGCTTACATAGGAAGGGACTGTTCTACACCAGGGCCTTAAAGGGAATGTAGCTCAGGCCTCGGCAGCAGGTGCACAGGAGCAGCACTTTGCAGAGTAAGTTTCTAGGTAGCGGGAGTTTCATAGTGTTGCCTATGTGTCTGCTGCATGGAGTCTGTGATGAAGTGAGTTTGGAAACTGAGTGAATGAAGGAAAATGAGCATCTGACACTATAGGACCAGAATCTGTAGTGTCTGCTGAAGTTTTCCAAGAGACAGCATGTGAGCCTTGGTTTGTCAAACTGGTTGAACCCTGTAGCCCTCTTCAGTAGCATCTTTCAGTTCAGGCGCTGTGAGAAGCTTTGCACTAATACAGTGGTTCTCAGGTTGTGCCCGTGACCATTAGCCAACGTCACTTTCCTGTGGTAATCTGTTCTGAATGCAAGGCCTCTGAAGTCAGAATCGGGTGGGGACACCCAGCAGGCGTGGGCTTGAATGGCCCCCTGGTGATGGGTGCACACTTGAGGTTTGGGAGCTACTGCAGTAGAATGATGCCTGCACCTGGCCACATGCCCTGGAGCATGCTCCATTGAGTGGGTCTCGAGGAAGGGGCATGCTGCTCTCTTCCCAGTGCCCCTGGTGTCATGTGGACATTTCATGCTTGGTGAGAATTAGAGTTTTTCAAACAGCCATGCTGGTTTCTTTAGGGAACTGTGATAATATTCTTTAAATTGCTAATTATATATAAATACGCCACCAGATAATTCACTTATTTTTAAAAAGGCCCACATACCGCCCTAACTGGTTTGGCTCAGTGGATAGAGCGTTGGCCTGCGGACTGAAGGGTCCCAGGTTTGATTCCGGTCAAGGGCATGTACCTTGGTTGCGGGCACATCTCCAGTAGGGGGTGTGCAGGAGGCAACTGATCAATGTTTCTCTCTCATTGATGTTTCTAACTCTCTATCCCTCTCCCTTCTTCTCTGTAAAACTTTAGATGCATTAATTTTATCCTGTAAACATTGATTGGCACCCTAGCCAGTTTGGCTTAGTGGAAGGAGCATCAGCCTGTGGACTGAAGAGTTCCAGGTTCATTTCCAGTCAAGGGTATGTACCTGGGTTGCGGGCACATCCCCAGTGGGAGGTGTGCAGGAGGCAGCTGAGCAATGTTTCTCTCTCATCGATGTTTCCGACTCTCTATCTCTCTCCCTTGTAAAAAAATCAATAAAATATATTTTAAAAAAATAAAATAAAAAATAAAAAGGCCCACATACCTACTGAATAATCTCAGTTTTCTGTCTAAAAGCACTAGAGGGCAGAGAAGTAGAGAAAGTTGGGGATACCAGGAAGGTTGGGATGCTCAGGCTCTGATGTTACACACACTTGAGTTCAGCCTCACCACGTAGCAGCCCTGGCAGGTGAGGTCACCAGCAGTGACACCATTGGTTTTATACCAGGGTATGGTTGGGAAGATTTAGTGAAATCGAGAAGTAGGTGACAGCGGGCACTATTGCGATGGTAACTGTCTGGATAACACTCTCTTGTAGCCTGTATTCATCGGTGCTCTGACTCAGCAGCAGCAGGGTAGGTTACTGTGTGATAGACGCTGTCTCCACATACTTAGGCGGATGCAGAGTGTCTTACTCGGGTCACATGCTAGTTAGTAGTGAGGCTGGCTCTCTGACCCTGGTATTCCTCAGGACACTGCTCTTTGCAGTAGGAAAGCAGGTCTTATTCACACGAAACTAACTATTGCTGGATTGGTCGACTGTGTCTGCATGAAATTGTGTATGGGGGAAGGGCACACAAATGAGGTCCTTTCACTTAAAGCCTTAGTGATTTATAAGGAGCTAGATGCATAAACATTTTTGTGTTGTTTTCTAAGGAATTTTCTTAGGCTGTGGGGGTTAAATATTTTTACTAAAAATAGCTTTGAGCCCCAGCTGGGTGGTTCGTTTGGTTGGAGCATCGTACACCAAAAAAAGGTTGCAGGTTAGATTCCCAGTCAGGGCATATATCTAGGTGTGTATGGGAGACAACTAGTCGATGTTTATCTCTATCATATGTATATACATATATATATATTTCAGAGAGGAAGGGGGAGGAAGAGATAGATAGAAACATCAATGATGAGAGGGAATCATTGGCTGCCTTCTGCATGCCGGGGACCGAGCCCATAACCCAAGCATGTGCCCTTGACCGGAATCGAACCTGGGACCCTTCAGTCCGTAGACCAATGCTCTATCCACTGAGCCACACCGGCTAGGGCTGTTTATATCTTATTTCTCTCTTCCTCGCTCTCTAGAATAATCAACATATTCTCTGGTGAGGATTTCTTTTTAAAAGCTTTGAAAACATTCTAAAAAAATCTCTATCTTGATCTTGCCAAGTTTGTTTTTGGAAGGTAAGATCTCACAGAATATTCTAGAAAGCCTTTGGTTTGCTTGCTGTAGTCTGGTTTGATCCTCCTAGTAATTTGTATTTTCTTAATTACAGAATAACAGAGGGAAAAATAAATAACTGTTTTGGGGGAGATGTCCTTCAAAAGAGTTAGAACAAACCACAGATGTTGTGCTAAGCAACATTTATAACACCCAGTTGAGGAACAGTAAGATTTGTTCATAGGGACTTGGAAATAACATCTCTCTCATTTTTCCTTTATATTCCCAGAAAATATTTACAGATTTGCAGGCTGAAGGATTTCCTGTGATAGAGACCAGCACCCTGACGGAGGAAGGGGTTATCAAAGTGAAAACAGAGGTCAGTGCTTCCTCGTAGGCAGGGGCCGAGCACTTTACTGTCTTTCTCTTGTTTGAGAAAAGTCAGTCGTGAGGAAGGAATTTTCTTTCCAGGTGAGTGCTTGTGGCTTAGGCAGGAGGCATGAGTGCAGGCGCCCTGGCTGAAGCCCTGGTCCCACCCACCCCAATGAAAGGGAGGCTTTGGGCGATGCTTTCACTCCCGGCTCGGGGAGTTTTAACTTTGTCCACTGTTGCTGTTTCTCTCAACCTGCCAATATTTCCATGGGAGCTGGATGGAAAAGTACTTCCATGGAACCTGTTCAGAAGTAAAGGAAAAAATAGTAAAAGTGGGACCAGCTGAAGGAAGTACTTTTTGTTAAATTTCACATGATTCTAACATTCTTATTTTGTTATTTTTACCTGAAATAAAAAGGGCAACTCTAATACTGTTGATTTTATTCAGGCTCAGTTGCTCTAGTTAGAGTCCTGAGGTGGGATGTGGATCAAGTTAGGGAGCTGTCTGGTTAGCGTGGAGTCGCTGGTAGTGGAAGAAGGGCCCAGAAAGGGCTGTGGGGTTACTCGGGCCAGCTGTGTGGTTGTGCTGCCTCCGGGTTCTGACTCAGATTGGGCCTGAGCTGGAAAGGGAGAAAGAGGCAGCCTCCATCCTGGAGAGTAGGGTCTACCCCAGGGGAGGTACTGGACCTTGATGTGGTTCTGGGGACTTAGCCACTAGATGTCACTACCGAGCAGAACACCTTGGAACATACATAATCTCTGGTTGCTGGTTCCTCCCTGGAGGCTGCTGCAGGATGCTTTGTGACTTTTGGGCCTTGTTTTCACACTTTCTTAGGCTTGTGACAGGCTCTTGGCTCATCGCGTTGAAACCAAAATGAAAGGAAATAAAGTCAATGAGGTGCTGAACAGATTGCATTTGGCTATGCCAAACAAAAGAGATGATAAGGTAAGGTTGCTCTTCCAGAGACACTCTGAGATGGAATTATGGTGTGACTGACACAGCGGACATGCCACGTGCTTCATCCAGGGGCCACATTTGCAGTTGCACATATGTGCATAAATGGATGTCATGAGCGGGCTTGAGCTCTCACTCAGGCTAAATCCTGCCACATATTTTTAAAAAGGCAAAAATTGAGTGTGAGGTGCCAAATTAAAACCTGCTTCTCATTCCACCAGGCCTATTAATGTTAACTCTGTCTTGTTAATCTTTCCAGAAATATTTTTGGTATAAAAGTGTATTTTTAAAAAAAATTTTAAACACAAATTTTGTGTTCTTTAAGTTTTCATTTAATTGCTAGTAGGCAGTGCTCAAGTGCACATCTTTACACACAGTGTTGTTGTTTTTTAATTTTCAAATCTATCTGTAGAGATTTTAAGGTGTGGCATTGAAAATATTGTCCTACAAAATGCCTTACGTGTGTATATTGTGCTGATGGTTCCTTGCACTTTTGGTGTTGACATCTGTTAGTCTAGTGCAGTGGTCGGCAAACTCATTAGTCAACAGAGCCAAATGTCAACAGTACAACGATTGAAATTTCTTTTGAGAGCCAAATTTTTTAAACTTAAACTATATAGGTAGGTACATTGTTAGTAACTTAATTAGGGTACTCCTAAACTGGCCTTTGCTAAAAACGCCCTCAATGTGATTGAGGTACGTTCGCTGAGGTTGACCCCTTCCAACTCTCCCATCCACACTCGTCTTGTATACTTGTTTCATCTATCTTTTGTCACCCGCGCACGATTTGCGGATGCAACTAACACTAACTACTGCACAGTGAGACTGCTGACTGACGGGCTCACTCAACTCGTGCATGAATCGCGCGTGCCTCCTCCGCGCTGCGTCTCCCGTGGCCCAACCAACCGAGGACACCCCCCACTTCTAATACCACTTCTTCAAAATAGACTCGCCCAGGCCAAAAACTGACTTCTGAGCATGGGCCACGAAGTTTCAATCGCACTGTACCTGCGTGCCGCACGTGGTATTTTGTGGCAGAGCCACACTCGGGGCCAAAGAGCCGCATGTGGCTCGCGAGCCACGGTTTGCCAACCACTGGTCTAGTGGATTACAACTGGTTAAAGATATGGCTGCTAACTGGGTGAACAGTGACCTGACTATGTCATGTATACCAGTATCAAATTATGATGGTGTATACCTGAAACACATGTAATCTTACATACAATTTTTTAAGAGATGGTTCCATTATGATATATTTCTTTAATGATTAGTGCAGGTGAGCAGCATTTTTGATGGGCTGCTTGGCCTTTTCAGTTCTTCAGGTCATTTACGTTTTACTCATTGATTTGTAATTTTTATATTAAGGTAATTAGACTGGTATATATTTTTTTAATTTTTTAAATTACCATTAACATTTAGTATTATGTGGTATTAGTTTCGGGTGTACAGCTTCATGGTTAGACAGTTATATAGTTTAAAAGGGTTTTGTACAATAAAACTTTGTGGGGGTGGTTTTCATTTTGTCATTGGAGGATTTTTTTAAATATATTTTTATTGATTTCAGAGAGAGGAAGGGAGAGGGAGAGAAAGAAACATCAATGATGAAAAAATAATTGATGGCTGCCTCTTGCATGCCCCCTACTGGGAATCGAGCCCACAACCCCGAGCATAGGCCCTGACCAGAAATCGAACCCTGACCTGGTTCATGGTTTAATGCTCAATGACTGAGCCACACATGTAGGCTGGAGGATTTCCTTTTTAATCTCAGAGAAAGTACACATATTTATGCTATTAGCCTATATTAATATTTTCTCTGTGGTTGCTTGGTTTGGTGTCATGCATATCAATGCCCACCACCCATTCCAAAAATAGTTCTTATTCTATACTTTGATGGTTTAATTTTTTTGAATTTTACCTGTTTTGAATAAAAGTCTTCACTTAGTTTTGAATTTATTTTGTTAGGAAGCAGGTGGAGGTAGTTATCCAGCTCTACTTTTCAGCTAGCTAGTCATTTATCTCATGTTTATATCTAAATTCCTTTTGTTCATGATGTGCTTTATTTCTCATGTTGCTTCCTTTGTTTATAATTGTTCTTGGTAACCTTAGTGTTTATTTTTTCTAAATAAACTTTAGAATCAGCTCTTAGTCCTTCTGGCTAACATGCCCACACTGGCCCTGCACCCGCCCCTCTCCCCATGATTCATCTGTTGGTTTTTAATTGGCCTGGGTGTGGTTTTATATATTTTTTCAGATGGAGAATTTACTCTTAGATTTTCATTTGTGTGTTTCTTTCCCATTCAGCAAGGTGTCTACATAAATATTTCCCATAATATCTTTTTAGGAGAGACCCCCTTTCATCCCAGAAGGAGTGGTGGCACGCCGGAAGAGAATGGAGATTGAGGAGGCTCGAAGGAAGAGGGTAGGTCACTGTCGACCTTACTGGGTTTACTTGTGAGGGTGGGCAGAAAGGCTTTGCAATGAGGGGTGGAGACTTAGAGTATGAACAGGCCAATAACACCATGATACTCTGTGAGAACATGGCTGTGAAACCCTGCACAGGTTCCCACCCTCATGTATGTGGCACAAAAGCTATCCTACTGGATGTAGGAGCTGAGTGCCAGGTGTGGAAAGGGTTAGTCCTTAGGCTGGAGAGGAGGTTATTTCACAGGAACAAGGAGGAGGGGCTCAGCTATTCTGGACCTGAAGGGTCAAATAGAACTGATCATAATTGTGTGTTTTTTTAAATTGCAGGAACGAGATATTGAACTGGAACTGGGAGATGATTATATTTTGGATCTTCAAAGTAAGGACCTGCATGTACTAGTTATTTTAAAATGCTAGTTTCATGTAAAGTGTTTCAGGAAAGTGTGAAAGGGCTTTAATGAGCACAAATCTTCCAACATTTCGTTAATTTCTTAAAAATGAAAGGTTGCATGCTGGCAGGGCTCTGAGATTTCTTCCTTTCTGGTAGTTTTCTGTCATTTAAGGATGACAGATTATTTTTTGTAACTTTTATAGCAAGTAAATGTGGAGCCAGGTTGATATTGTCGGTTATCTGTTATTCATGCCTTTTTCCTTTGAGTATATCATACTTGTTTTATTTGTGTTTTCCTTTATGGTCATTTCATCCTGAGGTACTGATAGACCTTGGGAAATGTTTGGGGGTGAATCTTTAATAAGCAGGTGGCTTTGCTTACATAGTGTCGAATACAAACACTGTTATCTTTAGATAGGGGAATGGCTTACGTAAGTTATAACTTACTTTGGGCGCATGGTACTTGAAGATATTACAAATTACTGTAAATATAATTTATTTATTTATATTTTTAGAGTATTGGGACATAATGAATTCATCTGAAAAATATGATAAGATACCTGAGATCTGGGAAGGCCATAATGTAGCTGATTACATTGATCCTGACATCATGCAGGTTTGTGTCACTTGTTAAATTACATGGTTTTTATTCCTTTTTAATACAACTACAAGAAGATACAAACACAACTTTTAGCTGGTCTCATGGTGTAATGGTCTATGACTCGAGCACAACTTTGGGCTCACCTGCCTCTGTTGCCATCATCCCTTCTACACCCACGAGCCTCCCTATCCCCAGTCACCCACAGCTTGCTCCTACCGAGTCCTGGAGACTCCAGCGCTCTGCCCATTTGCAGGGCCATTCATCCTCTTCCCGCTGAGGCCTTTTCCCTTCTCGGCTCCTGCTCTACTTCCCTTGGCCCATCATAGCAGGTAGCCTGCCTTTGTGAAGAATGTAGAGCCGCCGTGGGTGTGAGTGCCCAGTGCTTCTCGTTGGCAGGTACTTTTGGGTGCAGCACCCCTGGTTCTCAGACCTGGTTCCTTGTCTTCTCCAGAGTTTTGCTCCATCACCAGTATCTGCCTCCTGTTTCATTCCCCTCCCTGTTTGCTTTTTCTTAGCGCATGAGTGCCTGCAAATTTCTGTCATCTTTAAAAAGCAAAAGTCCTGTGTCCTCCTTTAGTTGCTATCCTTCTTTTGTCAGGCTTTTTGAAAAATAAAGCTTTATCAATATTTGCCATCTACATTTCCCCACTTTCTTCTCCTCAGTTCCCTTAATTAATGGTGCCCTTAATTTATACTTTCAGTCTTCAGATATCAAGGGATTGAACCCTAACATAAGCCCCCTTCACACTTTCTGTTTTTTCTACTTCTAAATAGTCCTGTTCTCTGTTGTCTGATGTTCATCCTTGCTGCCTTGGCTTTAACTAGTCTGTTTTCCTAGCTCTTCCCTTCACATTCTGTTGTCCACACTTACACTCACGAGAAGCCATGTTGCTCTCCTCTAAACTCTTCCATTGTGCCTCTTGCCTTCATCTCATTGCACAGCACCCAGTGTCCTCAGTGTGGATTCTGGGTGGCCTGTGATTAGTCTGGCCATGCCATTCTAGTCTCTGCCCCCACACTGTCCATAAATAGTGATGTAGGCACATCTGACTGCTGGATTCCTGTGAGTTTACTTACTTGGTTATGATATACCTACATGCATTTAAAAATTTTAACAGTACAGCCTGTGAGGTTGTGTTTGGGGATGGCAGTAAGATGGATAAATGGACACAGTAGTAAAAGATCAGTGCAGACTAATGATTTAAATTCTTCAAGAATGGAGGTTCTTCCATGTGCCTGCAGAGAGAGAGGGGATTGAGGGAGGTGCTGTCTGTCTGCACATTTTTAACCTTGCTGTGTACACTCATTGTTTTTAAAGGAGAAGAAGATCTGGCACCGAGCAATTAATATGTTGTCAGCTCAGCATTTGTGTAGTCTTCATTTTTTCCCCGTAATCTTTGCTAGTAGGTCAGCTCTGACATGTGTATGAGGCCCACATGAGACAACCCTGGCATCCATTGCACACTGAAAGGCTTAGAGGAAACCTAATTCCCATAGAAAGGTTCCTACACTTAATTGAGTTTTTCAATGTTGATTGTGTTTATGACCTTTTTTAAAGAAATTGGAAGAATTAGAAAAAGAAGAAGAGCTAAGAACAGCTGCTGGAGAGTATGACAGTGAATCAGAAAGTGAAGATGAAGAAATGGTGGAAATCCGACAGCTGGCAAAAGAAATCAGAGAAAAAAGGAAGTTGAAAATTCTGCAGTCCAAAGAGAAGGACACACAGGGACCCAGAATGCCACGAACTGCTAAGAAGGCAAGTTTTGTGTCCCCTCAAGGAGGTGTGACCCATTTCTTTCCATGCTGGATTCTCATATATTCATTGCTAGATAACACATTCTCACCTGTGTGAAGTAATAATATGCTTTTTTTGTTGGTATGTATTGACTTTCAAGGTTAGTTGAGTCTTGATTTTTTATTTCTGATTATTATGCCTTTCTTGGTGATTTTCAAAGTTCATAAGATCATAATTTAGTCAGGACTCTTTTGCAATTTACAGAAACCTAACCCAATCTATCATAAATCTGAGGGCGATTTACTGGCTCCTGTGACCTGTTAGTTCAAGCTCGAGTGGGTCAGTAAGGTTGGGGTTCTTTCCAGCTCTCAGCTCTATCTCTGTAGGCATCTTTCTCTACTGTTCTCATCAGGGTGGCAGGTGAGGTTAGATCCTCTGGTCGCCCCCAAACTGCAGGGCATGATAGAAAAGGTGGAGGCAGCTCCCCAAAGAAAGAAGAAGATGTGTAGGGCAGTTAAAGTTTAGTGGGACAGGAAGGAAGTTACAACAGTGCACACACCTCATGGGTATTCCTGTGCTTGACACTGTTTTCATGTGATAGCAAGTGAGTGGTTCTTGGCAGACACAGACATCACTGTATCCACCAGTGGTGCTGCAGGGACACTGGCTGGGGGGGTGTCACATGACCTGCCTTAATGACCTCATATGCACACAGGAGTCCCCTGCAGAATTGTGCAGAATCCAGGGATAAAGTGTACACTGTTCTACACATGGCAAGTGCCCAGGAAATGTTAGTTTTCATGGGATTTAATGAGCTGTCTACAAACATCAGCATGAGCCCAAGTGAAAGATACATAATTCGTAAAAGAGGTGGATCACAGATCGTTATAAAAGTCACATTTTCTCCTGAATTTTTTTTTTTTAACATTTCATCAAACTGGTTTTGCTTAAAAGAAATATACTTTCCCCTCTTTTCAGATTCAGCGGAAAGTCTTGGAGAATGAGATGCGCAGTCTTGGTGTTGACATGGATGATAACGACAACGTGAGTGTGCCGAGGTGGTCTCAGATACTTCATAGTTGGTTACAGCTTTGTACTCTAAAACCAGGGACTCAGAAACCTGTAGGGTCACAGAGTTCACTAGACAAGAAATTAGATCTCCTCACCATGGACGTGTCTGATCCTTGTCCTGAATACTGTCTCAGATCTCTGCTGTTCTTGCTTTGGAGGAGTCGTGTCTACATAGGGAGCTGGACTGAGCCTTTCACAGAGAGGCCCTGGAGTCTCAAAGGATGAGAACAATTAACTTACTTGTGTCTTCTGTTAAGCTTGTATCTCTTGTTTTGACAATAAAATTTATTACTACTTTGAAAAGAAAAGAAATTAGAACCTGCAGATTTTCTGTTGAGGAGCTTCACTAGCCTGGCAGTTTGGTTGGAAGTGGTTGGTTGAGGACAGATAGTTTAGTCACACTATATTGTCTATTCCCTTTGGGGGAACAGGTTGGGCATTTGGCTCATCCTGTTGGTACAGGATGGTGTTGCCAGAGTCAGTTCTTGCTGTTCCCATTTGAGAAGATTTAGGAAGAAGACTTGCCCATGCCATCCTCCTCAATTAGAACTCATCCTTGTGGGTGGGAGGTTTCCCTGGATGTCATTCTGGGGTCCAGTTTAGTTAATGTCAGGTGTGCGCAGCCGCCCTAGAGGCTTTTTATTTACCTTTTTTTCTTTTATTAATATTTTATGATATTTGTGTATTCATTTTAAAGATTTGGAAAGTTCCTAAAACTAGAAAGAAAACAATTACTTGTGGTTACAGTGCACAAAAATGAACTAGGCTACCATGTGGTGCATGTCTTTTTATTCAGTGTTTATGCAGAGAGTTTTGATATTTCTGTTTCTTTCTTTGAAATCTGTTTATACCCACGTGCTGCATCTGTATTTCATTGTGCAACAGGCACTTTCTTTTAGAGTAATACTCTTTTCATTTTTAAGCCTTTTTGATTGCTTGCAGTTTAAAAATGCATTTGCTCTTGCCTTAAAGAATGTAAGCTGGTGTGTAAAAAATGCACAATAAAAACAAGATTTATGTCAGTGAAAAATATATATATAAATTGGCAATGTTAGAATAAAACAATGTTGTCCGTACTACACAGTTTTTTTACTGGAACTTTAATTTTGTTTACTAAAGTCTTTACCTGGTGCTTTGATTAGCTTCAGTTATCAAATAACCATGAGGTACTATTGAGTCTCTCAATGGGAGGGAAACTTAGGCTGCAAATCATCCAAAGCTGTGTTCTGAAATCTTAACGACTAGAGGGCATTTCAGGTACCTATTAGAATTCCAGTGTTTTTTCCTTAGTGAGTTATCCCGGCATATATGCATCTTTGTATAAGAGAACTTTTCCATATTCTGGATTATTTTCTCAAAACACATTCCCAGAAGTGGAATAATGAAATCAAAGGGTAGTGTTTGTTGAAGTTCCTTTCCAAAAGGGTTTGACTGATTTGGATTTTCATCAGCAATGAGTGAGAACACCTGCTCATATGGAGTTGTAGTTTAATATGCAGATGTAGCTTCTGACTTTTGGGGGCTTATTAATTGTTGGACTTACTGCTTGCCTGCCTTTAGAGGGAGATGAGTGATCCTTCGATCCAGATAAGTGGGGGCTAAAGAACAGCCTGTCGGTGGCCATCTGCATGGCTTTGCTGAACCCCAAGGCTGAGCTTTCTGAGGTTCATCACAGTGTTGACAGACTTAACCCACAATGGAGGAATAAAGAAGTTAAAACTCTATGTCTAAGATTCAAATTGTGCCGAAACCGGTTTGGCTCAGTGGATGGAGTGTCGGCCTGTGGACTGAGGGGTCCCGGGTTCAATTCCGGTCAGGGGCATGTGCCTGGGTTGCGGGCGCATCCCCAGTGGGAGATGTGTGGGAGGCAGCTGGTCGATGTTTCTCTCTCATCGATGTTTCTGACTCTCTATCTCTCTCCCTTTCTCTCTGTAAAATAAAAAAAATAAATAAGATTCAAATTGTGATGCTGAGCTAATGATCTAGGTCAGTGATTGGCAAACTGCGGCTCGGCAAACCCCAGCTCACGAGCCACATGCGGCTCTTTGGCCCCTTCAGTGCGGCTCTTCCATAAAATACCAGGTCTTCCACAAAATACCGCGTCTTCCACAAAATACTGGCTTCTGCGCATGGGCCACGAAGTTGCATTCGCACTGTACGTACACACCCGCATGTGGTATTTTGTGGAAGAGCCACACTGAAGGGGCCAAAGAGCCACATGTGGCTCGCGAGCCGTGGTTTACCCACCACAGATCTAGGTTAACCCTACCAGACCTGAGGCCCTGAACCTAACTGTCCCCTGTACCTGGGCTCCTGAGCATTAAAGAGGAAAAACCAACATGATACAGAAAAATGTTAGTTACATGCAAACAAGTGGTTAGAATAAGATGGAACTTAGAGACATTGTAGAAAATAGGTCTAGGCAAAGTACCGAAAATTAGGTAGAGCAGTATCGCGGCAGATTCGGAAATTACCGAAAAATCGGTACAGCGGTCTGGTTAGGGTTGAGGGAAAACATTGCTGGATGGGCAACTCTAATTTTTTTAATGGAGTAAAATTAGCTTTGTAACCATCCAGTGTTAAATGGAAAAGAATATTTGATAAATAATTAACGTGAAATTAACTTTGTGTATTTTAAAGATCCCTTTTTAGCTTATTCGGTAATGGCTTTGGTAAAAGCTCCTGAGTGCCCTCTCCCCTTGGAGTGATTTCATGTTTGTCACTAAGCCTGAAAGCCAGGCTAGGATCCTGAAGTGTGTTCTTTGTGCTTTTCAGGCCCATTATGCAGCCCAAACCAGAAGGTCTCGGAGTGTCACTAGGAAAAGGAAGCGGGAAGACTCTGTCCCGCCCACATCTCTTGCCCGGAGTCGCAGTTGTTCTCGAACTCCACGTGATGTGTCTGGTCTTCGGGATGTCAAGGTTAGTCTCTGTCATGTGCAATTAATAACACGATGGCCTCTGCTTTTGGCTACCTGAACGTTCAGGGTAAACCCTCCCCATCCCTCAGCTGTCCTTCGGAGCAGGAAAGGGCACATGCCCGGGTTGCAGGCTTGATCCCCAGTGGGGGGCGTGCAGGAGGCAGCCTATCAATGATTCTCTCTCATCATTGACGTTTCTCTCTCTCCTTCTCCTTTCCTCTCTAAAATCAATAAAAATATATATATTTTTTAAAAATGGGTTGCCCACAGAACACCATTCTCTTGTGGTGAACAGAAGTATGATGTCATGGGGCACCAGGTGGTCTGAGCCTAGGCCCCAGCCGTTTCAGGGTGTTCTAGGAAATGGCCCTGCTGAGCCCCTAGAGGCCTGGGGCCTCACCCACAGTGAGTCATGCTGGGAACCAACCGAGCTTTTTGGTCGGTCTTTTGGGAAATACACTTTGGATGTACATTGTCTCTTGCTGAAACTTGATTTTATTAAATACACCCCAGAATTGTTAGTTTCAGCATTTTGAAAACTCAGGTAAAGTAGAAAGTCTGTATAAATGGGCAAGCAGTCGACTTCATGGAAATCTGAGGTTTCCATTCCACCATGCCACCTCCATCTAGAAATCTGATTTTAATATCAGTCTTGCCACTTGTTTGTCGAGTGTGAATAGTACAATTTCATGGGTCCTAATCTGAGTTTCTTTGTCCAAGAGGGAGTTAGAATAGATGCACTCTAATCTTCCACGCTAAATATATTTGCTCCTTGTAGGTACAAAACTTGTCTGGCTGTAATTTTCCTCCTGCCTTCACATGCAGGTGTTGGTTGAGTTCCTGCAGATACTGCAGTGGGTTCAAAATAGCATTGAGTGAGGCTTACCTGGGTTTTCCAGTACTGAGCACACCTGCATTATAAAGACAGACTGTTAACAGGTCATGAAAATGCACATGGATATTTGGTCTTCAGTAAGTACCGCATGTGTTTTATGTTTTCTCCTCTTTAGATGGTGAAGAAAGCCAAGACTATGATGAAGAATGCTCAGAAGAAGATGAATCGCTTGGGGAAGAAAGGGGAGGCAGACAGGCACGTGTTTGATATGAAGCCCAAGCACTTACTCTCTGGGAAGAGGAAAGCCGGTAAAAAGGACAGGAGATAGTGTCCTAAGCTGAGCAGTTTGGCGGGACTGGTGTTTGTTTCTGGTTTGGTACGGTACGGTCTCACAGAATTGGAGTCACTATCTGTAAACTGGAAATAACAATGAAATAACTAAAGCACCTGTTTTCCTCAAAATTATAGTTAACCCTTAACAATACAGGTGTGAAAAATGTTTATCACTGCCTAATATTGCGAATACTTTGAGGAGACTGGTTTCTGCTTTTAATGGGCTTTTGATTGCATCAGATTTGCAGAACTGGGAAGATTTATTGGTGTGACTGTTATTTTTTATGAAGAAAAGTCTCATTCTCTTCAGCAAGATGGAACTTTGGTTTGGTTCCCTGCATATAAATAGTCCGTCCTTGCTAAGGAAACCTCTCCACTTGTGGCAATGGGCAGAAGGCTGCCAGTCCTGCTTTGCAGATACAGGTTGAGGGTTTGTCAGATGCCAGCACTAAATTATTTTCTAGTCTTTATGTACAATGTACCATTGTAATCTGTCTTCATTATTTTATCCAAAATAAACTTCTTTTAGTTTTGATTATTTTGTTCATGTTTTTTTTTTAAGCAAAATATTTTTTTGTGGAGTAAAGAGCAATTAAATGTAGGCATGTCCTGTTTCAGTAGTTCTTGACTGAAAATCACATTTTAATTAAAACATAAAACACCCCAGTATTACCACAAAAGCACCTCCTGGGGAGGGATCTGTTTTCAGTTTTTTTGCTTAGTATAGAGTGTCTGCCTGTGAACTGAAGGGTCCCAGGTTTGATTCTGGTCAAGGGCACATGCCAGGGTTGTAGGCTCGATCCCCAGTAGGGGGTGTGCAGGAAGTGGCTAGTCAATGGTTCTCATTATTGTTTCTATCTCTCCCTCTCCCTTCCTCTCTGAAATCAATAAAAATATATTTTAAATATATTTTTAAAAATAAGAGATAGAGAGAGACTCATCCTCCAGTGATAGGGAAGATGGTCGAGTAGGAAGCACCAGGAATTTCTTTGTTCTAGATTATAGTGGCACCAGCAGAACTTGTCTGATGTAACTAACTTAGAAGTCTGGAGTCTCTCGGATGCCTAATCTCTTTTAGGGCAAGTCTTGGCCAGTAGGTCAGTTAATTTTGGTCAGTTTTAGCCTTTACGGGTTAGTATTTTCATACCACCCAGTCCCAGCCCTGTTTTTGTGTGTGGAGTGGGTTGCCTAGGACTTTGTCCTCCACACGTTGGGATTCTATGTTTTGATTGCTGCTTGCTGCTCTGATAGCAGAGGTTGACATTCATTCTTGCAGTTCCCATAAGCTGAATTGGATTCAGGAAATTTAAAGGCTCAGTGCCTTTTATTCCCCCCCCCTTTTTTTTTCAGGGGACCAGAGATTTAAGAATTAAGATTTTAAAGACCAACTTCGTGTTCAGGGGCATTTAGAAAGCACCCATGCCCAAGGAAAGACACATACTTAGAACTGAGAAGATGTTAAGTTTTTTTTATTTATTTTTTATCCTCACCCGAGGACATGTTTATTGATTTTATTTTTTGTTTGTTTTGTGTTTATTGACTTTAGAGGGGGAGAAAAACATTGATGTGAGGGAGAAAAATCCATAGGTTGCCTCCCACATGCTCCCGGACAGATCAAGCCTGCCACTCAGGCATGTGCCCTGACCAGGAATCCAATCCACAACCTTGTAATGTATGGGTGATGCTCCAATCAACTGAGCCACCCAGCTAGGGCACAATCTTAATTTTTTACCTCATGCTGGCACAGATATCCTACAATAAAAAACAAAAACCAAAAATTCAGCCACTCAGGTAAAGGGAGATGATCTGATTTATAGAATTAGCACATTATATGAGTCAAATACCCAGGTTTGGTTTTGTTTTAAATTATTATTTATTGATTTTAGAGAGAGGAAGGGAGAGAGACATCAATTTGCTATTCCACTATTTATCATTCATTGGTTGCTTGTATGTGCCCTGACCGGGGATCAAACCCACAACCTTGGTGTGTCGGGACAAAGCTCTAACTAACTGAACTACCTGGCCAGGGCCCCCAGTTTTCAACAACAACAACAAAAACAAGAAGGCATACAAATAAAGAGGAAAGTATGGCCAAAACAGAAATGATCCCTTACTAGACAAAGAATTTAAAAGCTACCTTCTTGCCGAAACCGGTTTGGCTCAGTGGATGGAGCGTCGGCCTGCGGACTGAAAGGTCCCAGGTTCGATTCTGGTCAAGGGCATGTACCTGGGTTGCGGGCACATCCCCAGTGGGGGATGTGCAGGAGGCAGCTGATCGATGTTTGTCTCTCATCGATGTTTCTGACTCTCTATCTCTCTCCCTTCCTCTCTGTAAAAAATCAATAAAATATATTTAAAAAAAAAAGCTACCTTCTTATTTAAACTTACTGGGTGACAATAGTTAATAAAATTATGTAAGTTTCAAGTATACAATTCTATAATACATCACCTGTATATTTCATTGTGTGTTTTACCACCCAAAGTCAAACATTCCATTATCATGTATTTGACTCCCTATGCTATCTTCCACTCCCCTTTTCCTCAGATAATCACCATACTATTGTCTGTATGAATTTGGGGTTTTGTTTGTTCATTTTTTGCTTTCAGTTTTATATTCCACATGAGTGAAATAAGGTTCTTGACTGACTTAATTTAGCATGATATTCTCAAGATCCATCCATGTTGTTCCAATTGCAGTATTTCATCCTTTGGTTGAGTAGTATTCCATCTTATATATATAAAAGGCTAATATGCAGTGTCCCCTCAGGATTTTGACCAGGAGAATGGAAGTTCAATCACTTGCTATGACGTACACTGACCACCAGGGGGGGTGGCACAGAACATGGCGGGTGACCAGCGGTGGTGGTGGATCGCTGAGGGAGTGAGGAAAGGAGGCGGCACGGAAGCGGGGAACCTGATCGGCCCTGATTGCCAGCCAGGCCTAGGGACCCTACCTGTGCACTGAGCTTCTAGTTGTATATATGTACGACTTCTTTATCCAATCATGTATTGAAGGACACTTCATTGTTTCCATGTTTAGCCACCATGAATAATGCTGCAGTGAAAAGAGGGGTACATATATCTTTATGAATCAATGTTTTCAAGTTTTTTGGCCAGATACCCAGAAGAAGGGTTGCTGGATAATATGGTAACTCTATTCTTAATTTTTTGAGGAACCTCCATACTGTTTTAGAGTGGCTGTACCAGCCTACATTCCCACCAGCAGTGAATGAGAGTTCCTCTTTCTCCAGAATCTCTCCAACACTTACTACTTGTCTTGCTTATAAGAGCCATTCTGACAGGTGTGAGGTGTTACCTCATTTTTTTTGTTTTTTTTTAAGTGAAGTGTCATTCGCTTCAGCTGAGTTATTTTTTGTTTGTTTGTTTTTTTATTGATTTCAGAGAGGAAGAGGGAGAGAGAAATAGAAACATCCATGATGAGAGAGAATCATGGATCAGTTGTCTCCTGCAAGTCCCCTACTGGGGATCAAGCCCACAACCCAGGCATGTGCCCTTGACCGGAATCGAACCTGGAACTTTTCAGTTCACAGGCTGATGCTCTAGCCACTGAGAAAAACCGGCTGGGGCCATTTTAGTTTTGATTTGCATTTCATAATAGCTAGTGAAGTTGAGCATCTTTTCATACACCTGTTGGCCATTTGTATGTCTTTTTGGGATACTAAGTGGTCAAGTTTTTTGCTCCTTTTCTATTTGGATTTTTGTTGTTTAGTTGTACTAATTCTTTATATATTTTGAATAATAACCCCTTATCAGCAGTGTTGTTTGCAAATTTCACCTTCCATTCAGTTGATTGCCTTTTTGTTTTGTTGGTGGTTTCTTCTGCTGTCCATAAGCTTTGATGTAGTCGTGTTTATTTATTTTTGCCTTTACTTCCCTTGCCTTTAAGATCAAACTCATAAAATCTTCTCTAAGGCCAAGATTCAGTGTTTTCTTCTATGCGATTTTGTCTCAATTCTTATATTTAGGTCTTTGATATGTTTTGAGTTAATTTTTTTTTTTTAATGTGGAACGCTTCACAAATTTGCGTGTCATCCTTGCGCAGGAGCCATGCTAATCTTCTCTGTATCGTTCCAGTTTTAGTATTTGTGCTGCCGAAGCAAGCACTGAGTTAATTTTTGTACAAGGGAACAAACTAAAACCCAGTTTCATGCTTTTGCATGTGGCTTTCCAATTTTCCCGGCACTATTAATTGAAGAGGCTTTCTTTTCTCTATTGTATGTTTTGGGCTCCTTTGTCAAAAATTATTTGCCCATATACATGTGTTTATTTCTGGACTCTCATTTCTTTTCCATTGGCCTGTGTGTCTGTTTTTCTGCAAATACCATGCAAAAAATTATCTTAAAGATGCTGAAAGAGCTAAAGGAAGACATGGATGTGGGAAAAACAGTGTGAACATAATAGAAATGTCAATAAAGAGAAAACAAAGGTACCAAAAAAATACTGGAGGTGGAAACTACAGACAGCAAAAAAAAAAAAAAGGAGATAAATGAGACTAGGTCAAATTTCTTTACATCAAAAGAAATAGACTGAAAAGACAACTTAAAGAATGGAGAAAATATTTGCAAATACCTGTAAGAGATGAATATCCAGAATATAAAAGGAATTCCTACAACTCAACTACAACAACACTTTTTTAAAAAATGGCCCTGGCCAGTGTTTCTCAGCTACAGAGAAGAGACTAGTGGTTGCCAGAGGTGAGGGCTGGAGTGTGGGCAAGATGAGTGACAGAAGTCAAAAGGTATAAATAAACTCCCCATGTAAGATAACTAAGTCATGGGAATGTAATATATAGCACTAGAGGCCTGGTGCACAAAAATTTGTGCACTGGGGGGAAGGGGGGTCCCTCAGACCGGCCTGTGCCCTCTTGCAGTCTGGGGCACCTCGGGAGATAACGAC